TACAGGGTCCCAGGGGACAACTTAAATTTCCTTCTGTAGACCAAGATATTTTGTGTATGTTTATTTCTGTACTTTTATGTTCATCCTGTGCATCACCTGTCATACTCATCTTCTCAAATATAAACCCTTGTTCAAAGCAAGTCTTGAGTTTCCTTCACCAAATTCTCATGAAGCCCAACAGCTTCAACAGTTCATTGCCACCATCTTCTGTTTCAGGGTATCATTTCCAGGTCTCAACTCCAGTAACAATGTTAATTAATTTTGAGTGTACTATTTTCTTTTCCACAGTCATAATCAATGCAAGTATCTACACAGCTAAAACAGTATGACATTTTCCATTATCAAGACTATTTTCAGGTACACACAAACTTTGCCAAACTTCAAGCATTTAGGCTGAAATTTTTGAGGTCATATGTACGCCTGAGGCTGAAATTCTCTGGAAAATTCAGCAGAAACAGTTCAGCTATGTCTTAGAATGAGGTCAGAGAAAAACGCATTGCTTATGTTCTTACATAAAACACTTAAAAATACCTCTTCAGTACCACGCTTTGGGGCAGAGAATTTTTATTTGCTAGGGTGACACTGGCCCTTCAGGAAAGGCGGGGTGTGCGCCCCTGTTGAGAGAGCACCTGAATGTCACCAGACCATGAGGAGCATGGCAGGAAGAAACGGGAATGCGTGAGCAGCACGGCAAGACTTTATCAGAGGAGTTACAAGGTGTACGGAGGCAGCTCTGAATTTGCCAAAGGAAGAGGGACAATGGGTTAAAAAGAGCAACAGAGACAAAAGCGGGGCATGAAGAGTTGAAGGGAAGAGGAAGAAACAAGGTCAGGAGGTGACATCAATAAAGGCTGATGAGTCTCTGTCCTCTGGACTAGTGACCGCCAAGCCAGGGAGGGTTGGTTTTTTGTGTGTGCTAGGAGAGTAGGCCTCACTGCCACTTCATCCTTCCTTCCCTTCTTCTTACCAGCCTGCTATCTCTTCACTTCTTGTCCTGTCTGGGAGAGCGGCTCCTCTTTCCCTCAGGTGACGTCCCTCCGCTTATGAAAGGTGGAGAGATAAAGAGCTGTAACTCCAGTCTGTCAGTGACCCACAAAATGCTGAAACTGAGGGGGCTGTGGTGACGGGGTATGACTCCCTTCAGATGAGGTCTCAGTGATGTGTGCAGTGCAGCTAAAGGTTAAGACACCTACCAGTGACTTAGTGGCTGTCAGGTCAGGTCAGGTCAGGGCAATGCCAAGCCCTAACACAGGCTGGGTGGAGAATGGATTGAGACCATCCCTGAGGAGAAGGACTTCGGGGTGTTGGTGGATGAGAAGCTCAACATGAGCCAGCAATGTGCACTCACAGCCCAGAAGGCCAACCATACCCTGGGCTACATCAAAAGAAGCATGGCCAGAAGGTCAAGGGAGATGAGTCTGCCCCTCTACTCTGCTCTCGTGAGACCTCAACTGGAGTACTGCATCCAGCTCAGGGGCCCTCAACATAAGAAGGACATGGACCTGTTGGAGTGAGTCCAGAGGAGGGCCACAAAGATGATCAGAGGGCTGAAGCATCTGTCCTATGACGAGAGGCTGAGAGAGTTGGGGTTGTTCAGCCTGGAGAAGAGAAGGCTCTGGGGAGACCTTATAGTGGCCTTCCAGTACTTAAAGGGGGCCTACAGGAAAGATAGGGAGGGACTTTTTACAAGGGCACGTAGTGATAGGAGGAGGGGTAATGGCTTCAAACTGGAAGAGGGGAGATTTAGATTAGATATTAGGAAGATACTCTGTACTCTGAGGGTGGTGAGGCACTGGAAGAGGCTGCCGAGAGCAGTTGTGGATGCCCCATCCCTGGAGGTGTTCAAGGCCAGGTTGGATGGGGCTTAGAGCAATGTGGTATAGTGGGAAGTGTCCCTGCCCATGGCAGGGGGGTTGGAACTAGGTGATCTTTAAGGTCCTTTCTAACCTAAACCACTGTATGATCCATTCATGGTCATACATGCACACTGGGTTTTAGAAGAATGTGATGCAGTTACAGCAATGCTGTAATTTTTGGTAAATGTTAGAAAGCAGGTGTGGAGGGGTTGGTTGTTGATGCCTACAACATGAAGAGGTTGATACTTATCGTAATGATCTTGTCACCCAAAACTTGCCTCTGAAAACTGTTGGAACCAATGTTAAAGAAAATATTTGAGCCTAATAAATGTTAAAGGAAATTTCAGATAAGATTATAGTACGTATTTCTCAACTAACAACTTCTAAATAACTTTTCAAAACACTGGATGAAAGAAACTTGCTATAAAAATGAAACTTCAAGTTTAAAAGTATGCTGAAGCTGAAACCTACATGCGTTAAAGTTTGAAAAAGTTATAATTAAATTTTTACCTCCACTGTGTGGGACACATAGTACTGGGTGAGCTGTTGTTTTCACTTTCTGCTAAGTGTATGGCTCCAGGTCTTTCTCACCGCATGCTGTTCTACAAACAATACTTGCTCTTTTGTTAGAGAGTTTTGTATGGTATTGATCATGGTCATATTAAATTCTAAAATCACCTTGCTGCTGAAGAGATGATGTTTTTCATTTTTACAGTTGGGAAACTGAGGCATTGCTGTAGGAAGTTTGAGTGGCCTGTTTATGATGGCCGTAGGTTAAATTTTCTGGAACATACAGCTTCTGAAAACACCTTCAAAGCACATCTCTTATCAAATTCAAAAGTAGTTGCAGTTGTAGATAGGCAGCATTTTCTGCAATTTAAATCCCATGATTTTAAGTCAGGAAATGAGGGGTGCATTAAATCAGTAAATTGTGAAATTCTTTTGTTTTAATGAAAAACTGGGGCAGATGCAGGCATAGACTCCACTTCTGCCTGAGCAGCATACAGCCACATTAATGGTAAGACCATCATCCACTTTGTTCACTACCCAAATGATAAGTGAAGCATTTTGTCCAGTAGTGCACAGCAGCCCTTTCACTGCGCTGCTGTCGACTGATCCCAAGAACAGCCGTGTCTGCTGCCTGCGAGGACAAAAGTGTGGCTGTGTATTTAAAGACTGATATAGTTATTTCTGCAAAGTATACATGTTTAATGTTGCAAGGGCAAACTTAATTCCAACAGCTCTTAACTTCTGCATTGGCAATGTTTCTTAAAGCAGGGGAAGAGCCTGGTTATTTGTTTGGTTGGGTTTTTTTCACCTTGCAGAAATACAGAATCATAGAATGGTTAAAGTTGGAAGGGACCTTAAAGATCACCTAGTCCCAGCCCCCCTGCCATGGGCAGGGACACTTCCCACTATACCACATTGCT